TTATAAAAAAATAATTATAAAAAATTATAAATAAATTTATATTTATATAAATTTTTTTTTTTTTTTTTTTTTTTGCCCCTCAACTGTTATTTTACTATTCGATTAATCAGATGAAAAAATGACACATTCTGCAGAACTTTCATTTAATATTTTTATGTAATATTAGAATTCAATTTAAATAAGACAATAAGCATTTTATTGCCTAAAATGCATTGACATAGTATTTCTTTACCTGAATGCTTGATCGTTTGTTGGCATCCACAGCTAAAGTAATACTTCTAACATCAACTCAGCTCAACATCAATACAGTATAGGGCTGATCTGTTGATTCATTTTTCAATTAACCAGTTAATAATTGGATAGTGAAAGGTGTTTAGGACTCTTTTTCTTTTTTAAAAAAAAAATAATTTTAACCAGGTGAAGCTAAAACGGCCACTTGAGGAGTTTTGGGTAGAACTGACAAGTCTATATGTATACATGTTCTATATAGTTTTGACTTAATTGCTGCTCTGTGTTGTTATTTCAGCAAATGACCTTGTTTTTGAGTCTGTATACTCAATTTGACGATTAATCGATTTCTAAATAGTTGACAATTATTTTAATAATCGATTAATCACAAGAAATCCAATCAATTGTTTCAACCCTCTTCTTTTTTTTTACTATAAAATGTTTTAATCAGCTTGAAATCAACTTCTTGAGGATATCATGTTTTCAATAAAAAAAATTTTAATAGGAGGTCAAGGCGGCCATCTTGGAGGACATGCTGCGGCTTGGCAAAGAGGGAGGCCTCAAGTCCTTTGAGCAGGTGCAACACTGGCTTCTAGATGAGATTCACAAGACTGTGAATCCTGTAGAAATATATCAAAGCTGAGATGAGTTGCTGATGAAGCATTATTCTCCTCTAACACAACTGGTGTCCTGCAGGTTAAAGCCATCCACATCCATACAGAGATGTTCTCCATCGAGAATGGCCTGCTCACCCCAACAATGAAGGCTAAGAGGAATGAAATGCGCCAGCTCTTCAGATCCCAGATAGATGAGCTGTATGCTGGGATCAGCATGTAGGAGGGCTCACTGGCTCCGTTTGTGTTGTGAAGAGAGAAAGAGGCAGCAAACTGGGGAGAGCAGGTCTAAACAAGAAGCTCCAAGGTATCGAGCTGGAACACAAGAAACTAGCAGAGCAGGCCGACATGCAGCTTTTAGGGTTTGTGAAGCATTTCCAAGATGGGATCTGTGGAACACTAAACCTCACAGTCCAGAGGAGTTTTTACACATGAAGTGTTTTCTATGATCAAACCTCACTACAGTACAAATGTATGATTTTAAAAAAATATATTTTTTAAGATGATTCCAATCAGCTCTTATGTGAACATTTTAAAGAGAAACAGTCTCTCCTGCTCCATCAGGAATCATGGTGTGAACAGCCACATGTACAAACTGATTACAAGCCATATATTTAAGCTAATGGTCCTTTTCTATTAACACAGACTCAGCGACTAGTCACATGCTATTGGACCCTTTTATTTTGCTGGGGTTCGTGACATCAGAAGACTATTGGTCACTTATTGGTCAGGGGGTGGAGCCTCTGTTTGGATCACAGGAGTGATGCTCTTACAATAATCCATTAAAACTCCCAACAGAGACCAAAAAGCCACACGTCGAGTTACACTGCTAGGCGCTAGTGGAAAAGGACCACAACAGTCTTAGCCATTTTTATATCAACATCGTCATCTTTGTACATTAAATGTACATTTTAAACTGTTTTCACTGTTAATGTAAGAATAAGTTTGGTATCTCATGTACTAGTTTAGACACTAAGGACAACAGTCTGATCTAGCTGTGTTTGGGTATCTATGGGAACAACATGGGAAATCTTTGTCAATGTATTCATTTATTTATGATAATGATGAGAAAAGGTTACTGGCTAAAGAACCTTTCCTAAGTGAATGTTATTTTTTAATGAAAAGTTAATCAACAGGTTGTCATTTTGTAAAAGATTTCATTAAAGAAATTTTAAAAAATCTGTGTAAACTATTTACCGTGTGGCATTTGTACATTTAGTCATTCATCTTTGCTGCTCTTATTTGTTGCTTTGATAAAATTAAGAAAAACTGATGTGGGTTCCCTTCAAATCTGATTAGTTTCTGTAAGATCTTAAACAGTATTGCATGTTTATTAAATTCAGTCTCAGACCTGAAAAGGCTTAAATCACACTGATGTTGCATATTTGTTCATAAATAGCTTCTTCAGTTGACTGTCTTCTTCTTTTTTGTTATTAATTTGGGCCAAATTCTAGTTCTGGCTGATAAATTCAGGGCAGCATTGACTTTATTAGAAGAAATGTAACTGGAAACATTCAATCCTCTCTGCAAACTTTAACTTGTAACAATCTTGATGGCTGGTCACAATCAGCTGGAAGGGAAAAATTAACCCCAAATCATATCTCATTCAATCAAAATTGACTTTAATTTGTTGCAGCTAAAAAAAATTTATTTTTTTATTTTTTATATGAATAAAATCACTTTGACTTTTAAACTTCTGGTTGTTTTTAAGAATTGAGGGGGTAATTAAAAGATGTAATGTTTCCAGATTAGATCCAATAAAATTATGCAGAATTGGATTTTTAAAAATTCCAACAAAAATATCACCACAGCAATGGTTCAAGTGCATTGCTCTGAAATGGCGAAGAAAGGCAAGATCTTGGGCAAGATGACCTCCCGCTTTCCGTAGGACTAGACCGTTCCATATTCACATTTCGAGCGATATAATCCTATATTTAAAGGAATTTCCTAAATCACTCCTGCTTCTTTTAAAGCTTGACTGCACATTATTTTTAAAATATATGCTGCTTTATTTAAACTGTGAATTTCAAGAGTTTCTCTCTCTTCCTCACCTTGTAAATATTCCTCTCACCCCCTCGGTATTCGCGGAATGGTTCCGTCCGGAACTCGAACTGTTTTGCGGGAAGCAGCTGTTTCAGGTCGAGCTAACGGTGTCAACAAAACATTGACGAAATGAGGTGAGTAAATTACACCAATCCGTCTAAGCAGCTTGTTTTTGTTTTATTACACAATATATCCACATTTTGTTGTTCGAAAGTTCAGTAATAAAAAAAGACTGAAGCCGTTAATAGAAAAATAAAGCTCTGTTTTCCCTGTTAATAGGATTGAATACGTTTTTTTTTTTTTACAGAACGTCACGACATTAAGGTTAGCATGTTATATGTAACTTATATTTAGCTTTTAAATGTGTATTCATCGTAACTAATATGGGTAACAAAATATTTCACAATAATGCTGCTCTAAAATGGCGTTATCGTAATCCGGTCCAGGTCACTTAAAATTAACCTAGAGATGATAAAATGCAGCTCGGATCCATATAAAGCAGAGAAACAGACATTTTTTCGGCTGATGACCTTTTTAAACTGAAAGCAGCTAATTTCTCTATAATTTATTATTATTATTATTATTATTATTATTATTATTATTATTTTTTTTAATTTTTAAGGCATCATTGCCAACACAATTTGTTTTCCTCCAAAATTTTTTTAGATTTCATAGGCCTGTTTTAAAATTCCTTCATTTTTATTTGTATTTCATTGATTTTGCTGAAACTTTTTCAATAGGTTACAGTCTAACAGAAAATTAAGAAATTAGATGATAAACCTAAGCATCTATTCAGTTATTTGCTGATTTTCAAAAAATGGATCTAAGAAGATAGTTTTAGTTAGTGTTTGAAGTGAAAAATGACAACTCTGTTTTAATATATTTAATGATTAGAAAAAATCAGATTCTTTGGTGTTTGACTTGGAAACATGTCCATTTCATTGGCGCAACAAGTAAATATAAAGCACTCTGTAACCTTAGAAAGCACAATTAGAAAATAAATATATATCACGGCAGATTGATTAAGCTGTAAAATAAAGGCCTGTCTCTGTTTTCTCATTCCTGCGGCGTCAGAAAGGGCCAAGGAACCAAAGTGCCTCCGGGCCAGGCGCACAAGAGCCAGGTGAGTATGTCTCTAAACGCTGACTTATCGACTCTGTGCTGAAAAATCTGTAAGTCTTGAACTGTAAACCTGTTGTTTACGTCCTAAATAGATGGAGTCCACCAGTCTGTCTGCTGTGGACCAAGCCAGCTTCTTAGAGGGACTGGAGCGGAACGATAGTGAGTGTCTCCCCTTGTTGCTGCACCAACAAATTCAACCCATTTTGCTAAATTCAAATGTGAAATTAGTTTTGTTTACCTCTTGAAAGCCAAACCTTTATTGGATCTGTTCCCTAGGCAACCCTCTTCACAGCACTGCCTTGGAGGAGCACTTGGATGTCCAGGAGGAGGAACGGCTGGACAAAAAACGAGTACAAAGAGGGAACATTGCTCCTGTCGAAAAGCAGGGAGCTGCTGCGAAGAGAAAAGGCTCAGGAGGAGGAGAGGAAGAGGAGAGGAAGAAGAAGAGCAGGACTGATACAGCAGGGAAGGGAAGAGCCAGGTAAAGTTCAGCGCTTTGTTTTGTATTTCACATCATTTCGGCAACAGTTCAGATCCGTTGCTCATTGCCCAACAATCAGGCAACAAAAAGGAGCAGCAGAAAAGCAGCCGGATGAAAAAGTGGGGAGGTCCAAAACAACCCGGACCATGGCGGCGATCAGTCGGCGTCTGAGTGGGAAGAAGCCTGTCGGGATGAGGAAGGTCCCGGGAAGGACGGGTGCTGGAAGGACGGCTGCTGGAAGGTCAGCACGCTAATCAAGAGACGCTCCTCAGAGTTCATCATGATAACAGGAGTAAAAATGTAACACAAACAAATTTGTTCCAGTTTTAATGAGGCAGTCAATACTTCAGACAACTGAAAAAAAAATATAATATTAAGTGAAAAGTTCGATTTTTTTATATTTCTTTTTTGTCTCCCATTTTACAATGTAAATCGTATTATATAGATTCATAACAGGTGGATTTAAAATATTTTAAGGGGCATTATTATGTAAAATTCACTTTTTTGAGCTTTGCATCATGTTATAATGTTATCAAGAACATAGCTGGAGTGCTGCCTTGATTCTTTCATGCATGTTTGAGAAATCCATTAATCTCCATGGCAACCATTCAGCTGTGCAAAACAGCTGGGTGGAGCTAGCTCCGCCTTCGAGGACGAAGCTCCTCCTCTTAGGGGCAGTTTTCAAGCTACCAAACTTCAACTTTACAGAACAGCTCTCCCCTGTGATGCCCCCATGCAGCTCCTTCAGACTAGCCAGCAGAAAATGGCAAAGACCTGGTGGAACTGCACATCTGCTGAGCTTTTTATATCAGCTACTTCTCAGTGCAAAAACGTTGTTAAAAAGTTAATAGAGGAGCCATGTTGTGATGATTTCCTGAAGGCGGAGTTTCAAAAAAAGTATGAACTTCTTAAAGAGACAGAGGCCCAAGGTCAAAGCTCTAAATCCGGAAGCCAAATTTCTTAAGTCATATATACATATACAGCATTTTTATAACAACTGCTGGTAACATAATTATCTGTGTATGCTAAAAAAAATGGCGCTCTGTGCCTGGAAAACAAATAACGCTGCCCCTTTAAGCTTTTATTTCTTATAATTTTGATGTTTACAGCTTACATGTAATAAAAACCCAAAATTGTGTGTCTCAGAAAATTTGAGAATTACATAAGCTCAATTTAAAAATTTATATTTTACACAGAAATGTCAGATTTCTGGGGGGAAAAAAATTAAATTTCTATTCACTCAGTACTTGGTTGGATGTCCAACCAAGTACTGAAGTAATGAATCTTTGTAATATGAGTTTCACTTTCTGAAATGAATGATAAAAACAATCTTTTCATGAAATACCAATTTTTCTGAGGTGTTTCTGCATTTTCTTTCTTTTCCCCTTCCAGACCGGCACAGAGGCAGCAGTTGGAGGAGGAGGGCGACACGGCGAGCGAATCAGCTGATGAGAAGACTTCAGAGTCTGAGGTAAAGATTGTTAGAAGACGACATTGAAAGCAGGGTCGGCGAGGTAATAGTCAGTTTATAATGTACAAACAAGGTTTCCCCCAGAAAACTTGCTAAGCCCGGCAGTTGAGCACTAGGGCAGTCGTTCAGTCCAGCAGCCCGTTGTGTTTTTGAGTTAAAGTTGACAGGAAATTTAAAAATATCACTTGATAATTGTGTGTTATTGAAAGATTGGAAGATTAATACATGAACACCAACTATAAAGCCTTAAAAAATGCTAACATTTTAAAAAGACTTTAAAAATAAGTAATCCTGAGCCTGGTGGGGGCACAAGTAAAGCCTGGTGGCCCGCCAGGCTTATGATACACAAGAGGGAAACCCTGACAAACACAGAACCTCTCCACATTCCTACAGAGGTTTTGTGTCTGTACATAAAAATGACAGAATCTGGAGAAAAAATGCTGTTCGCACAACTTTTTTTGTCTCTCTCCAGGAGGAATTTGACTCGGATGGAGGCCGGAGGAAAAGCAGGAGGCTCCCTTCCTCCGATGAGGAAGATGATGCAGGCAGCGTTTGGGTATGAACCCACGTTCAGCCTGAAAGCAGCAGCTTGACGTCCGTATGACTGTTTCCTTTTTTTGTTTGTCGTTTTCCAGAATCCGACTCCAATGACAACTAAACGCCTGACTAAACGGCTCAGTTTGGGAAGAAAGTCTTCATCAAATAAGAGTATGTTGAAGATTTTCAAGTAAAATCAAAAATGTTTTCAAGCTCCAGTGTGCTTGTATTAGATGTGAATATTTGCAGCTCAAAATGCTAAAGCCAGCGGCGGCATCGGGCAGAAGAAGCGCGCCGGCCGGGTGGGATCCCAGTTAGAGGTGGTGCTGGATGCCGTGCTGGATTTCTGCCAGCAGTACGGGTAAAATCACCCACATGGAGCAACCTGCAAACGAACTCTTTCACTTTGCGTCAAAAGCCACTTTCACTTCTTTTGTGCGCTCATTTCCAGGGAGACAGTGGAGTCGGCAGCAGTCAGAGAATCCATTGATTGTTTCACCAACAACGTGGAGGCTCAGCTAGAGGAACAGGTTCGCCCTGCGACACTGCTGCTCTGTTACACGCTCAAGCACTTTGGTTCTTATTTATTGTTTTTGGTTGTTTGTCTTTTTATATTTTGGATATTTAAAATGTCTTTCATTTGCACATGGGAGTGCTCTATACAAAGTTAAAGTTTCTTAGTGTTTGAGCAGGCAAGCTTGCCACTATCAGCAGATTAGTTGAAAATGGTGTCAAAACGACCGTGTTATCACATTTGTAATCGTGACATACCTGGGTGTACTTTCATTCTTATGCAGTTATCAAGATATTAGTTGAAAATGGTCTCAAAATTATAATTTTGTTGTTTATCCCAATCATTTCTGGGACAATTTATCATCCAGCAAAATTATTTGTGACAAGAAGTGTCACTTTTTATTGCTTATTCAAGGCGGTTATAGTAGGAAGCCTAGCGACCCTCTCCATGGCAACACTCCAGTTTACTCTGGGTGACCAGAATGCCAGAAGTAGAGATGTACAATGTATCGTTAATAACATTGGTATTGTATTGTATTTTTAATTTTTTTAACATATCAATGTCGGTTCACTAAATAAAACCGGGCCGATTATTAACAACCAATATTTATTTTTATGTTGTTGCCGTTTGTTTCTGGAGCTTTGGTCATGTGACAGTGGTGGTGATGCAGCACAGGATTGTGGGAAGTATAGCTGAATCAGTGGAGAAGTACACGCATATTAGCTTGTCATAGTCAGAATTTAACATGTTCTTAGTTTTTTAAAAACTAAGAACATTTGAGTACCGTGTTTTCCGCACTATAAGGCGCACCTAAAAACCTTCAATTTCCTCAAAAGTCGTTGGTGTGTCTTATAATCCGGTGAGTCTTATATATGGACCAATATTGAGCCACAACAGACCTAGCAACTACGGTAAGCAGCCGCCGACTTCATTTTCGCCCGTAGAAGAAGAAGTGCGCAGTGCATGCTGGGATAGTTGTCAGAACGCTGGTTTGTGAATAAAGTTTGACTGACCTATCTACCTACCAACTGTCTAGAATCAGGTCGTCTGCAGGTCATTTAGCACCACGTTCTCCATGAACATGCTGTGCGCAAACGGAGAAGGGTGACCATCGTCCGGCCCAGTCGCGGAAGGCTCTCCTTGCAGATCGGAGTCAGACTGTTTTGTTGACATTCCCATTAGTGTAGCTCCATCTAGTGGATGCATAACGTAACTCCAGCCTCTACTGTAGCGTCTATTCTATGCCCTAATGTGATGCGCCTTATATGAAAAAAGTTTTAAAATAGGTCAGTCATTAAAGGTGCGCCTATAGTCCGGTGCACCTTATAGTGCGAAAAATATGGTACTCGGATGCTAAAGTGTATCTAAATCTGCCCATTATATCTAAAAATGTAACTTTGGTTTTTGAAAATATCAGATGCATTCCTTGAGTTTCTTTTCTTCCTCAGATCTCATCTTTGAAGGATCTCAGGTCTTTGAAAAGAGAGAACATAAAGGTAACATGCATGCTTCTCCAGAGTGAAATCCAGCAGCTCCAGCTAGCAGCTAGCATCTAGAGGTAGGATTGCTGGTGACAAGCTGATCAGTTCTCTGCGGTTTCTGTTTCGGCAGGTGGGCTCTTTGATTCGAACGAAGACTCAGAGACTGTTGAATGCCAAACACGAGCTAATGAGGTGAGGAAAAAGGAAAACAACTTGTGGCCCCTTCACAAACATTTAGTAATCTGATGTTTTCTCCGTGTGTCATTTTTTGAAGGGAAGTTATGTACAGTGTGAGAGTTTGTGAATTCCTCTTGTTGGGGTTTGGTCATGCAGGGCAGAGAGGCAGCTGTGGCTGCTGGAGAAGGAGAAAGCGGAGCTCCAGCAGAGACTGGACGATCTCAGAAGAGGCCGGACGTTCCTCCAAGACGTCAGGGAGCTGACTGCGCGTTACCTGGCCCACCGACACAAGCACCCCGCTGAGAAAGAGACGGTACAAACGCAGCAGGATGTTGACGATAAACGTTGAGATTTAGATACTTCCTGTGACCGCCTCATTTATAGTACCTGTGGTGAAGAAGTCAGCTGTTAGGACAGTGTCATATTCTCACTCTGAAATGTTTAATATGCAGTTATTAGGGGTACTGGTAAAATAATTGTCATTGTCAAATAATGCATATTTTCGTCGTTTTCTTTTTCACCCTTGTCTTACTGAAACATTCAGTTTTGGATTATACTTCTGCAATAAAAAAAATATATACAATATTTATATATATATATATATATATATATATATATATATATATATATATATATATATATAACTCATTAAGCCCTCTTGCCAAAAAGTGAAGCATTCACTAGATTTTTATGTTCAAGTCATCAGAAGGAACATTTTTATGTTTAGTTGCCGTTTATCTCATAATGCATGTTCATATCTGAGGCATAAGTGACGGTAGCATTTTATTTCTTTTGTTGTAGTTTGGAGCATCCAGTTTACCGGCTCTGCTGTTGGAAACAAAACTCATTCAGTTACCAGAACATCCTCCCAGTGAAGTCCAGGCTAAGAAGACGGCTCAAAAATAATGAGATTTTTCTTAGCATTTGTGTATGTAACTATAATGTAAGATAAACATGTTCAATAAATGTGGTTTTTCGATATATTTCTGTGGATTTATTGTCATTAATTATATTAGTAGTAATGGCATGAGACTATAGAGGTAAAATTACTTGAAACTACTCGGTTAAATCAAAGTTAACAACGACAGCTTTCTCAGCCAATCAGCTTCCGGCTGACGTTCAGTCCCTTTTACTGATCCGCCTACAAACTGGTGCAGCGTCTGATTGGCTGGAAGTGTCAGGTTTATACCCTCGAGGGAAAAAAACTATCGTGCCTATGTTCTTACATTCTATTACGCACTTCTACCAAACGTCTCTACAAAAGGTAGGTTCAAGGTGTCTAGAGTGAGTTTGTTGCTGTGATTCACGGTAAAGAGCCGAAAACCTCTAAGGTGTGTGTTGCGTTTGCTCCAGCTGTATCGATAAGGTGGCTGTTCCAGATAGTTTGGTATGGCAGTAGAACAGAGGAAATCTTACTGAGTGCCTTCTTGTCATATGTGACGGGATCATCGCGAGGACAAGGATTTTAGGGTGAATTAACAATGAGCTGTTAATTCCTTATTTGTTTTAACTTGTACAAGTATGACACCGAAATATTGTCATGTTAATGGTTCCCCATTTGTTATACAATCGTTTACTGTAAATTGGGTTGGGTGTAATTACACAACTATAAAGTGATTCATACCTGTTGGATAATTTATTTTCATTTTCGTTTTTCACTTGACATTTACTGTTTATAAAGAACTGTAAATGGCTAGGGTTTAATTTATTACTTTGGTTTTGAGCCTTAATGAAATTCCGAGCAACACATTCAATATGCCAATTCTGAGCCGTTTGTTTCAGCTGAACAAATGTGTGAAAAAACTCTTAAGCTTTCGGTCGGAATAAAGCGGACAGCTCCACAGAGGAACCACACTGTTTCTGCAGCTTGTGTCTTGTTTTAAAAGTTAATGTTCCTGAACTGAAATTCTGTAGCTGATTTGCGGATTACACAAGAAAATCCCTTGACACGTCACTGAGTCAGGCTCATACCGAAACACCGGGCAACTAAAAAACAATTACGAAATTATCTTTTACAGTGATAAGATCATTCCGCATACCTGGCTGAGTGATCCATGTTTAAATCTCCATGTTCAAATATGTTTGAACACATTTGAACATGGAAAAACCTTTATTTTAACATTCTTGTGTTTAATATAGCTAATCTTAATTTAGGTAGGTTTGTGTTAAATATGTAATCTAAATAACTAGAGATAGATATTTTTGAACATACATAAACACTACAGACAAGAGGTGGCAGGAGAGACTGGCTGTTATCAGGGAGGAACCACGCCTTAAATTAACTCTGGTCTCAAGCAGCAGGCAGGAGACATGTCAAGTTATCTCCCACAGGGAGAAAGCACTAAAAACTTGAGGAAAACAAACTAATACTTTTATTAATTGTAATTTAATTTGTAGGATATTTTTCTTAGTTATTAACAGCATGTGTTGATTAGAAAAGTTTAATTTGTAGTTTTATATTAACAACTAGTAGTGTCTAGGCTAAACTGTAATATCAGTCAAACATATAATCAAAACTAAGGGAACATTAATTAGGAAATGTTTAGAATGAATGCCTTTCTATTGAAAATACTCTATAAGTGTTGTAATTCTTCAAATCGGTGCTTTGATTTAAGAGGATGGAGAAATCTGAATCACTTGGTCCCAGGCTCCGAGTGGTAAAGACCTGTGTTTGGATGGCTGTTCGGCGAGGTAATAAAATAAGATAACTTTTTGGTGAAATCTGGTTAAAAACAAGAATCTTTTGTTCAATTGGAGAACTGGGAGAAAGTCCAGGTTTCAAACTCGCATGAGGTTGCTCTAAAATGACCGTTGGTCTCCCTTGTCCAGAGAGAGAAGTATTGTAGTTAAACAGATCTTAGAAGGTAATAAAACGTCCCAACTTAGTCATTTGAAACTGGTGTCAGTTATACAAGGAGAAGACACGCCATAAGTGCATAATTGCATAAATTAAAAAACAAGGAAACACCCTTTTGGATAAAACTATGCGCCCCACAGGAACGTATCAGATTGCTTTTGCAAAACGCATGAGCACTCTCCAAAGACGCATCTTTCCTCTTCTTTTATTTCGGCATTTTTCCTTTATCTTATTTGTCTCAGGTAAATTAATGAATGCTTTCTGATTTTTTTTTTTTTTTTTTTTTTTTTGGCAGTTTTTTATTGGAATTTTTTTCTTTTTTTTTTTTTTTTTTTAAGCCTTTAAATCTT